TTTGCAGAATTCCCAAATATCGCATAGCTCCAACTAACAGGTGTCTGCATAACATGTTTGCAAGCGATTGTTGCCCATCCACAGATATGGAGCTGGTTTATCTCGGCAGCCGGGTTGACTGACATGTTTATTAAATAGCTGGATATGGAAATAGTGGTGGTGAAGCTGCTCCTTATCCCTGCAAGGTTAAGGTGGGCACATTTGTCTCTTGAATGTGTTATCTTAAATTGATCATTTGGATCTTAGGGGTGCGGGGATAAGGGGGTGTTCATACATTTCTAGAGCCGCGAATCAGGCTAGCATGGTGACAGGCATGCTTATCCTAAGAGGCTCCAGTCCAGATTTTTATTTAGCTACCTTATGTCAAGCTTTGATAGCTTTACTTTGAGAATGAAAATCCTGAAGGCCGAGTAATCTCTTGATCGAGAATCAAACAATGTTTTCATTTTGTTAATTATCTCTAGTAGAATGAGCTATCTTTCATAGCTGAGTTTGTCTTGGGGCGTATAGTCCTTATGTGTATTCAGTGAACTTTATACATCAATTATTTTCACTTAACTTCTACTTTAATTGCTTGTAGATGTGAAGGACATAAAATGTGTGGTCAACTATGATTTTCCTTCCAGCCTTGAGGATTATGTTCACAGGATAGGCCGAACTGGTCGAGCAGGAGCTAGTGGAACTGCCTTAACCTTTTTCACAGAGTCAAATGCAAAATTTGCTAGGGATCTTATTAAAATTCTGCAAGAAGCAGGGCAGATTGTGCCTCCATCGTTATCTGCTATGACTCGGTCAGCTGGTTCTTTTGGAGGTAAATATATGTGGACGTGTTAATCAGGATTGAATGCCAAGTCTATTCAAGGATGATGAATCTCAATTATTTCTCATGTTCATATCTTCTGCAGGTAACTTCCGTTCCAGAGGAAGAGGTGGCTTCAGCAACCGCCGGATGATTTCAGGATCCAATACCGTGCCCCTTGGTGCTGGTAGACCTTGGTAATTTAGCGAACAATTGCAGCTTCTACTGGCATCATCAACAAACAAGCTTTAGTTATGTTAAGAAGACTATCTCTGCGAGTGGGTGCATTCGTATTGAAATGAAGGGTTAAACAATGCTGTAACTAATAAAGTATAGGAATTCGTGTATTGGCAATTCATATTTATGTGATTGTAACTTTAGGTTGGCGTAACTTTTGAGCATAGGTGATTAGGTTCTCTGTTGTGGTTTGCTTAATTCTTGATGTGGTTACTCAAATATCCAAAGCCAATTTAACCGGCAAAGGTATAATAGAGCTTGTGTTTTTGTTAATGGTGAATCTCTTGAAAAACAGGAAAAATGATAAGAGAGAGTGCCCGTTGATACACCGCAAACAATTCTTCAATTAGTCTATGCCGTCCTGCACTTTTCTAATGAATGGTTTCAACACTGTAAATTAATAAATTAATGATTTTCGGCACAACAGAACCATGTAGTGGCTGTTCAGCATGATGTTCTTCGTCGCCTCCAATGCTTTATGTATTCAGGGCACAACTGATCTCTGGTATTTGAGCTTCATGTCTGCAGCAGGGCTTAGGAGGATAGCACCATCATTTTTCTATCGCTTCAAGGAGGTCGAATCCCGTATAATTAATCTAGATGCCTGAAAACATGAGCATCGTCAATGACAGATTTTCTCAGCTTCCAAGCATCATCAATGGCAGATTTTCTCAGCTTCCAATTCGGCAACAATGGTGTCCTCCTCCTCCACATGAAACGCAGTCAAATCTGTACGGTACATACTTCACCCAAGTTTCCATTGCTTGAACGAGGTATTATCTCTCTTTATTTGAGGCAAAAATCACTATGAAAGCCCACCATGATCCCCTTCAATAATAGGATAAGTCACTCCTTATTGCAAAAATAAATAAATAAATAAATAAAATAAAATGTGTGGCAAAAATACTTTAGCAAAAGAGTGATTAACTGGAGATTGAAATAATGAATTGATGTCTTTGTCCTTGACAAATAAAGATTAAATGAATTGACTTTGAAAGGATAAATGGTATTATCATGGAGTTTATTTGTTGTTCTATAATTATAATTGGTAGTAGTATTAATCCGGGTGGATTTGTATATTTTTTTGTGTTTATTTTTTTATCAAAAAATTTAATATTTAATTAATTAAAAATTAAGTTTTATAATTTTTTTTTATATATTTAATATTTATAGTCAAGTGGCCTTCTGCATAAGTTTTGAAAATTAGATTTTAAGATTTTCTTATCAAGTTATCCAATTTTATTACTTAATTTATGATCTATTTTATTTTTAAAAAAATAAAAAGAAAGGAATATTAAATTAAAAAAAAACTATTTATTAATTTTTAGAAGAATTATTTCTGCAAACAAAACATGATTCCTTAGTGATTATGTTTATACTAGCAATACAAGTTTTTTATAACTTTTTTATATTGTTTTTTTCCCACTATTATTTCTTTCTTTTTCCCAACACCACTTACGGTCTTATGACCCCTTGGCCCCACATGATAAAGGCATGGACAATACGCCTGCACCCCCCCTGTGTAGATGGATCGAAATCCTTGTCATAATAAAAGTGTATTTTCTCAACCTTTTATGTGTTTCCCCAGTGTTTTGAACCCGGCCTGACCCGACGGGTCAACTCGGGATCCAGTCGATCTGGAATTGGAACTAGAGCATGTTGATGAAAAAATAGGGTAAGCTGTGATCCGGTCAACTCGGCTGGTTGATTTAGCTGGTTAACCCAATAAAACCCGGTAAAAAACCCGATTAAAACTCGATGACCCAGTCAAAATCTGGAATCAGGTCTTGGATCTCTCCGGCCACCAAACCGGGTCTAAAAACTTTGGTTTCCCCCTTCCTCCATGTCCTTTTCCGTCGTTTTGGGGAGTGGAACTCAATTTCATGAGAGTCATACTAGTCGACCGCATAAAAGTACAAAATCAGAATTAAAAAAAAAAACAATAATCACCTCATGGTAGTTGCCTTTGCAAATTTCCTCTCACAAAACGTGGCTGAAGAGCACAAGTAAAGAATAATTAGGTGATGGTAGTCGTTATTTTTTGAAATATATTTTATTTAAAAATATATTAAAATAATATTTTTTTTATTATTTTAAAATTATTTTTAATATCAATATATTAAAATAATTTAAAAAATACTAAAAAAATATTAATTTAAAATAAATAAAAATATTTTAAAAAAATATTTTTAAAATATAAAAACAAATATGCCGCGCTTTCTTGTCGGTGAGGATATTCTCTAGTAAAGAGTAAGAGAATAGACAAAAGCAAAGACTAATACAATCTATTATTGGTGTGGAAAGGTTACTAATTGAGCTCTTCCTTGACTCCTTGTATAAATGAAGATCATTTCCGTCCATTTTTCCTAGTAACTTCCCTTGAATTTGAGTAATGGATGATGAAATTGTATGACTAATTATACCTACACAAGATATTATTTAGTGTAATTTATACGAAATCTTCTTTACTGAAATGTGTATGACTTTATATGTATATATATTGACTCTAAGGTTTGAGATTTAAAAGCCTAAAAGAAAAAAGAAAAAATTATCATTGAGCAATTATTTTAATTAAAATTGATAATTTATTTCTTGTTAGGTGATCATAATATTAAGTGAAATCTTTTTTTAAATGCGTCTGTCACCTTTTGGCCGTAGAAAAGTAGTTGATCCGATTTCCAGATGACGACTAGCCCTGATGAGGACCTGACTTCAGCATCCCATGAAATAAAACCACTTGTGATTTTGATTTGTTCCATTGCCTCTTCCTGAACCGTCCAAGTTCTGTAAAATATCTTGACAGGGACACCGAGGAGGACGATGACCAGAGATGTAAAGGAGCAAGATAACAAAGGAAGTAGGTGGTATAAGTCTTGAGTGCAGAAAAGACTTTAAAGGAGGAAAAGGTTGATCAGTGTGATTTTCCATGAAATCATTTCTTGCTTATCACAGAGGATGGAGAAAGGATCAAATTTCACCGGAAAAACGCCATAATTGATGGAAACCTTGGAAGCTCTTCCGCCTTTGGGATGGGTTTCCTGAAGAAATATTGCAGTCAGCACACGAAAGCACTTCCAGTAGAAAGGGCGGCAGGCGTCTATATATATATATATATATATATATATATATATATAAAAGGTTATTAATTTATTTTATAAAGATTATCTATTAAAATTTTTTAAAAATATTTATATAGTTATTAATTTAAGACCTATAAATTCATTGAAAATAATTATAAACTGATTTGAATATCTATATTAATCTTAAAAAATATATAATTTATTAATTTTACTTTTTAAAGAGTTATTTATTTCAAATTATATTAAAGCTATATTTTTTATTTTTTATAATTTATTTTAAATATTAACTTATAAAGAAATAATCTGAAAATAATGAAAAGGTTAATTTAAAAACAAAAAAGTATAAAAAACTTTAATGTTTTTTTCAAAAGCGTTTTGTAAATGATAGGACCAATAATGTACATGTGCGTCTGGACGAAATCTAACTAGTTTTTCATGCTTTAAAGGCGACAATATAAAGCAAACAAGATCATCATTTGACTTTCGTAGTTGACATCTGTGGTGTGCAAGCAGCTAGTATTTTACTTTAACTAATAGATATTTGAAACGGTAGCTTCTTTTGCTCAATTGCACTGCGGACTATGACAACACAATTATTTTTGTCCCTTTTTTATCCTTAAGAAATTATATATTTACAAAATCTGATTTTCATGTTCTAATTGTATTTGTGTTAGCATAAAACATCCCGGTAGTAAAATTAAAGGTTAATATAATAATAAAAAAAACTTTAGCTTATAATTTAAAATAATTTAAATGATAAGAACTAGGATTAACATTAAAAAAATATTTTTCTATATTCTCTCTCTAAATTTATGAGTTTTTAAATTAAATATATTTTAAAATCATAACCAATAAAATTTTGTAAATAAAATGGGGTTTGAGGGGGATTTTTGTCAAATTTTCAAAAAATTTCTTAGAATGTTTTGGAATACGGTATAAATTATATTTTAAAAATTTTAATTTTTTTGCTAAAAGTAATTTTTTATATATTTTAGATTGTTTTGATATACTAATATAAAAAATAATTTTAAAAAATAAAAAAATAATTTTAATATATTTTAATATAAAAAATATTTTAAAAAATAACTATAATTATACTTTTTAGCAGCAATTCACAATACCTCATTTTAAAAAATAACTATAATTATATTTTTAGCAGCTATTCACAATACCTGGAAAATTTTTGTAATTTGATCGATTTTTTTATTTACATTTCAACTAGTCTTTCATGTCAAATTCCTTGATTTGATTTGAGAATCTTCACATATTTTCAAGGAAGAAATTGACGTAACTAGGGATATGAGGATAATTAGACGCCTCCATTTATATTGGAGTTAAGAGCTTACAATACCTCAGTAATTGAAGCTGATCGAACATGAACACGCCGCCTTATTAAAGGCCAGTGCTGAAATCTTATGTAAATTAAAAACTCTAAGATGAGAATTTATGTAAATTAAACTGTTAATGAATTTTTTTTTTTAAAAAAATTAATTCTGCGAGAGATGCCTGCAAGAATCACATGTTTAATCATGGGCTTATGCTATCTAGAAATCTCCGCGCAAGATGCACCGACATCGATCACGTGCATCACGAGGAAGGTTTTTCAGCCTTTTATTCTCTCTTTCGTTTTTCAAATAAATACACGTTAAGATATTGCAAGATTGTGTAGACACGTGGCATAATAAAACACATTAATGTTGCCTTTTTTTGTTCATTTATTACTTTAAGAAAAAGATAGGGTACATTTACTCGTGATTAAAAATCTTTGACTTTTTTCTTCTAAGAAAATAAAAGAGGTGTAGAACCGTAATTAGATATAAGGTGAGGGTTTAATTGAAAATATGCCAAAATTCATCGACACCTTTGATCCTCGTTCCAAAAGACATGGGACATGGTAGAGGGAATTGGACATTAATTATTCTTGGGTTTAATTTTTATTTTATTTTAAATAAATAAATAAATTATGAATTATTTATCATTCTGCAAGCCCATGGATGTAAACAGGTTGGTTGCAAGAGTAATTAGTTCTTGGGTTTAATTTTTATTTTATTTTAAATAAATAAATAAATTATGAATTATTTATCATTCTGCAAGCCCATGGATGTAAACAGGTTGGTTGCAAGAGTAATTAGTTCTTGGGTTTAATTTTTATTTTATTTTAAATAAATAAATAAATTATGAATTATTTATTAT